GAGGAGAATTGACCCCACCACTACCAGCGCCAGTGCCAACAACGATTCCGACCGCGGTGGCTCAAACCATCGACCATCTGACCGCCGCATTCCAAGTACTAAAGGACACCACCACCGGCCTTCCCGTTTTGTCCAGGGACCCACTTGAAGACCCCGCTAAAAAACACTAGGCCAGCCGGCACCGAACCCTCCGAAGAGAAAAGGTTCCCTGCCCGCCTGCCATTACTGTCCCGAGCGCCACTTCCATTGGGACTGCCCCGTGGATCAAGGATCACGCTATGGAGGAAGGGGGGGGGGCGAGCTTGCTGGGCCAATCAAACACCACAGTAGAGCTAGGGAAGTCTACCTTACCCTTAAAGCAACTCTTCTTCCTCCACTGCCAATTCGAGGCAGTCCAGTGCACGAGTCAACCGCTGCGCAACTGCGACTCCGCCGTCACGCAACAACCCTCAAGTCACCGCCGCTCAGCAGCGCTACTACGCCGTATTTTGGGAAAGAATGTGGAGCCGGGGGGTCTGGGGGGGTATACCACCGAGGAAAAAGAAAGTGCCAACCTTCATTCGCCTACAACTAACATAAAACATTCGTATACTGGGGCGACAATTGACTCTTCCTGTTTCCTGGGGGGTATTCCCTACCCCCAGAGACCCCGGTTTTACATTCTTCCCCAAAATGTTTAGTACACTTAGCGGAATACTTTGAGGGGGTCTACCACGGAAAAGAAAGAATCAATCTTCATCCGCCTTCGTACACTGAGATTGACTTTTTCTTTTTCCTGGGGGAGAGGGGTAGTAGTCCCCAGATCCCGAATGATACGCTTACCATCAAAACATTCAGCTCTTAAGAATCTTGCAAAAAAAAATGATGTTGTAAGTGCTAAGGGTACTAAACATTGTGAGGGTAAATGTATCAGGGGAGTGGGGTCTGGGGGGCATGGGCATGAAAAAGAAGAATTCAATCTTCTTTTACCGACAACTGCCATAAAATCCCCTCAGCCCCCCCCCCCCGGGTGGTATGTTCACCAAAAAAACGTTCAACCCCATAGAATTTTGCAAAAAAAGCCAAGAGTACTAATCAGTTTGGGGAAGACTGTAGAATCGGGGGGTCTTGGGGGGGGGGGGGGGGGAAAACCCCCCAGGAAAAATAAAGTGTCAACTGACATAAAACAGGTACTCTCAAAGCGTTAGTGGAAGGTCTGGACGTGTCTTCGCTGTTCTTAAAATTTGTGGGAGAAATCTTAATCCCAAGCAGTGTGATAATTTCATGATGGTTTCATAAAACTTTTAATGGGTCCCATCCCCCAAAACGTTTAGCCCCTAGAACCCTCGTGTATGGAAAATATCTTCCGGAAAAGAAAAATTTGACTACACTTCCTATAACAATCATAAGCATACCCACTTTCTTAATCATTTTGGGGAAAAAAATGGCACCGGGGGGTCTGGACCCCTCCCCCCCCAACCCCAAAGAAGAAATCGACCTCAGGGTGCTACATTCTACCCGAAAACGTCCAGCCCTCAGAACTCGTGTATAGAATATTTTCCGAAAAAGAAACATTTGGCTACACTACTCACAAAAATCATGCGCATAGTAGTTTTCTGAAACATTTTGGCGGTGAGCATACCACGGGGGGTTTCCCCCCCAGTACACAGAAGAAATCTATGACGTTTTCCCAAAAACTACCATGACAATTGGTTCTGGAGTAGGGGTCATCAAATCTCCCTTATAGCTGGGGGGTATTCCTTACCCCCCAGACCCCCCGGTGCTACATTCTCCCCCAAAACGTCTAGCCCTTAGAACTCGTGTGTAGAATATCTTCCGGAAAAGAAAGATTTGGCTACACTACTCACAAAAATCATGCGCATAGTAGTTTTCTGAAACATTTTGGGGGGTTAGCATACCACGGGGGGATACCTCCCCTAGCACACAGAAGAAATCTATGACGTTTTCCCAAAAACTACCATGACAATTGGTTCTGGAGTAGGGGTCATCAAATCTCCCTTATAGCTGGGGGGTATTCCATACCCCCCAGACCCCCCGGTGCTACATTCTCCCCCAAAGCGTCTAGCCCTTAGAACTCGTGTATAGAATATCTTCCGGAAAAGAAAGATTTAGCTACACTACTCACAAAAATCATGCGCATAGTAGTTTTCTGAAACATTTTGGGGGTTAGCATACCACGGGGGGATACCTCCCCTAGCACACAAAAGAAATCTATGACGTTTTCCCAAAAACTACCATGACAATTGGTTCTGGAGTAAGGGTCATCAAATCTCCCTTATAGCTGGGGGGTATTCCATACCGCCCAGAGCTACATTCTCCCCCAAAGCGTCTAGCCCTGAGAACACGTGTATGGAATATCTTCCGGAAAAGAAAGATTTAGCTACACTACTCACAAAAATCATGCGCATAGTAGTTTTCTGAAACATTTTGGGGGTTAGCATACCACGGGGGGATACCTCCCCTAGCACACAAAAGAAATCTATGACGTTTTCCCAAAAACTACCATGACAATTGGTTCTGGAGTAAGGGTCATCAAATCTCCCTTATAGCTGGGGGGTATTCCATACCGCCCAGAGCTACATTCTCCCCCAAAGCCCTCTGAACTCGTCGAACCCAATGTTTGATTGATCTTTCTGTTTTGTGGGGGGGGGTCATTTCTCCCCCCGAAATGTTTAGTACACCTAGCGGAGCATTTTGAGGGTCAACGTATCACCAGGGGGTCTGTCATGGAAAAGAAAGAGTCAATCTTCATTCCCCTCCCCCGTGCAGCGAGGTGAAAATTAACTTTTTCCGGGGGGGGGGGGGGTAATCCCCAGACCCTCAGGTTACCCTAAAAACGATTAGCTGTAAAGAATCTTGCAAACAATTGTGGCGCAAGTGATGTCAAAAACAAGTGATATATTAAAAAAACTTTAACATATGGTATCTCATTCTTTAGGTTATCTATCTCTTTTTTGAGCCCCATTAATTGACACTCCATTTTCCTTTGCTCTTCCGCTCAACCTACCCCCTTCTGGTCTCGCTTTTTCATGTAACATGCTTAGTTTAAATCTCCTCATCGTCCCATATATTTGTCCCCTTTCTCTATTTATCAGCTTCCAGAAGTCTTTCTCTATTTTGATTCCTTTGATTAATTATCTTTTTGTTTCTTCATCTGTTTAGCGCGTTTTTTAAGAAAAAAGTGCGTTTTATCCGCCCGTCCGGATCCACCTTTGTCGTTTTGAACTACTTCTAGGGGAATGGTGCTACAGTCCTGAAATTTTTTGGAATAGGTACACTATACCTTGAAGGTTGAAGCCCCCCCCCTACATTATTTCCTAAGGTGTTGTTTTTGAAAGTGATAACCTGCATAACTTTTATTCATACGACCACCAATTGGTCTCAGAGTTCATACTGAATGAATGCCAAGTAAAACTTTTAAAAATGTGAAGAGTGGAGGGGGGGGGGGCACACGTTCTACCCATGGTATTCTAATGAAGGGCCTCATCGAAATAAATTGGTTTGTACAAACTATAACTTTCCTGTGCGGCTCTTTTTCGAGATCAGTGAATGACGGGGCCTTATCTGACCCCGTATCAGAAGAAATGGGGGGGGGGGGCTGGTTTTATACTTCATGGTACTCTAACGAAAGGTCTCAACGAAAGGAATTAATTTCTACCAACCGTAGTCCTCCTCCTCCCGTATTGGTGATGTCAAACCTTCCAGTGCAAATATCTGCAGAAAAGAGTGTCGGAGGGTTTTAAATGTATGCCTGACGGCCTTTAGACTTACCCAATCAGTCTCTTCAAGTTAGTTTCAAGTGTGGGAGGTGGGTTGGTTCTAGTCACAATAGCCCAAAACAAATTAACGATAAACTGTCTACTCACTAATCGATATCTGGTGGGGTTGCTACTGTTGATTCCCCAAGATTGATTACCGGCACCAATTAAGAAGGTGTGTGAAACGTGTAATAGGAAATGTATAGGTACGCGAGAATGGGGGTTGAGTAATTATAGCTAATTCGGGTAGGAAAAAAACGTCAATACATTATGAAAGGGTGATTGATGAAGGGACGTGGTGGAAATTCTTCCCGCTTTCTCAATAACCGCATGGTAGAGAAAAATCCTTGAATCCATCTGGAAAATCGATCGTCTCCTTTTTATGGTAGGTTAAGGTTAAATTCGTGAAAATGATGGCGTTGCGGTTATAAAGCATATCAAAGTCGACCTAATATAATCTTAAGGGGTTTGGGGTTGTTACAGCGCTACGATTGCGTGATTCAAATACTTGAGTGGTCAGCAAGTGCAGAATAGCGTGTCCAGATATCTGCATGGGCGCGCCGTTTTCCTCCAACCGTCACCGATTTCGCTCGTCTTAGAGTATCAAGGGCCGGCATTCCGCGAGGACTTCCGCCGGAGGTTTCCGGCGAAAATCTCGTGTGATCCAGCTCGATGATTTCGGAGCGCTCCCGATTAAGGTTCCCAAATTGGCAACCGCACGCCACTGCTTTTCGGGAACTAAAAAGCGCGATAATGTGTAGACGCGTTGGAAATTGGAAAACGCCAGTCCGCGTGGTCAGTTTGTGTAAGAAAATTCGATACCAGCGCGCGAGAGTTTCCCCAATCTCTTTGTTTGTGGTGAAGTGATCGAGGATCCCGCGACGGCCGATAGCTTTAAAGCAATAAACAATTAAAAATGTAAATGACACCATTTGCATAATTTACATAAAAGTGATTTTCTCCCTTAAAAGCATCACGAACGTGACCTTAACGAAAACTGATTCAGAAGGAAGCTCCCATGGTGCAGTTGAAACGAATCAATCGCAAAATGACGTATATTTACGTTATGCCGCTCCACGAAAATCAAAACGGTTACGGCGACATACTACAAAATGGCGGCGGGTACATAATTTCTTCCAAAACTCACATTGATCTTATCGCAAACACCACCACGCCCCATCCTCATTGCTTGACCCGAACTTTTTCTGGTACAAGGTTCTCACGCTCGACTTTTGTTTTCAGATTGCCGCCGCCGCAATCGCCCCAGGAGGAAGCGGCGGCGACGACGAGCGAGCCTCCCAAAGGCATCTGCGGGAGACTCTTCGGCCGCTGCGCGAGGCAGACGAAGACGAAGCAGAAGAAGCGCAAATGGTGGTTCGGAAAGAAGGAGGACGATCAGGTGGCGGAGAAGACGAAGTGGTGGCAAAAGTTGACGTGCTGCAAGAGGAAAAAGGTCGGCGACGTCGAGCAAGGTGCCAACGGGGGTGCGAAACGGAAGGACAGCTGGACGGAGAGAAGGGACAGTTACATCGGCGAACCACCAATGTTGAGGTATTCATCTGCGCCATATTGCGTGCCTTCGTTCCATTGACTTCGCAAAAATCGATAGGGGTGGCATTCCTGTGTACTCTTTGAGGTTTGAAACTTGAATGAACACGAGAGGATCTTTGTTGTCAAAGAAGTTTTTCTTCGTCGAACTGACATATTCCTACCCAATTCCACTCTTCTCGATCTTTTGCGGAAAATTCGCCCCCGGCCCCAAGACAACTTGCATCCGGAATTTTTATGGCCAAGAAGACTCACTCCCAGGAAGTTTAACCATCGATACCACGCCCGCTCTCGTAAGAACTGCACTGCAAGTGCAATACCCACACCCTTGCTCAAAATAGGGGTGGAAATCGATTTTTATTCTGCCCTTCATGGTACTGTAATGTAAGGCCTCCAATCAAGTAATTTTGTCATCACTCGTCCCCTTCCCCCATCCTTCTAGCGATGGAAGATCTAGACGAGATCTATCTGCAGATGCAGTGCAAATTGCTCAAGAACAGTTTCGTTAGAAAGTGCCCACAAGTGAAAGGACTGGATGAGATGTGGGGTTCAGCTTACCCTTCTCCTCTTCCCCCTTCGTCCAGGATTTCTTCCCTGACTTCCCTACCTCTTTACAGTACCATCTCAGAGGATCAATATTTTCCTCTTTCTTTCCACATAGTCTGCCTCCTTTCTTCTTGTTCTATCCTCCCTCCTCTTTCCGCATCTGAACCTCGCTATTAGTTTGACGTTTTCCTTCCTTCCTGTTATATATTTTGGCACTCCTTCCGTTATTAGCTGTGCTTCGTTGTGAATTCTCCCTTTTTGTATTAGTCCCTTTTTGTCAGTCCTTCCTCATGCTTTCCTTTCAATTTCTGCCCATCCAATCCGTTTCGTTCATAATATTCTTTGCTCCCACCATTTTCCTTTTGTGTTCATCTTCGTTGACAAACATTCTTTCACTGTGGTCTTATTTTGAACTTCCTCTCTCCTATTCCTTCCTATTAATTGTTAAATTCTCTTTCTTCTTCCTCCTCCGTTCTACCTCCCTTTTCCTCTCTACCTCTTTCTCAAATGTCATCATCCTTGATTTTTCGACATTTAATTCCATTCCTTTTGTTCCCAGTATCTCTCCATCTTCCCATCATTTTCTTCGTCTGTTCTCCCTCTGTTACCATTATTACTCCATGGTTCTGTTCTTTAAATTATTATCTATTTTCCCATTCTCCATCATTTTCGCCATACTTTTCCTTTTGTACTTTTTCGACCAATGTATGCAGTACATCGATCGATCATCTTTCTCCCTCTTCTGAAAAAGTGATTCCCCTATGATTTCCCTTACAGTCTTTGTCACCTTTGTTGTAAATCGGAACTATTACCCCTTCCTTTCATTCTTCCAATAGTCTTCATACCTTCTTCCTCCCGCTTTCCATGTAGTACCTTAATAAAGTGCTGCTTCCAGTCCTCTATTTCTATCTCTCTTCCACTTAAGATGTTTTCCCTTTCCTTGTTTTTAATTCTTCACTCTTCTTCGTATTCTTTCTGTTTTTCCTTACATTTTTTTCTGTTCTCCCAACACCTTCTTCTCTCCCCTTTATTTCTTTTTTCATCATTGTTCTGTATCCGTTTTTTATCTCTACCTTCCCCTTCATTTACCTCTTTCCATGTTATTGCCTTTTAAACACTCTCCTTCATATTTTCCACTCCTCCGTGCTATCTCCGATTTCTTCTTCTTTTCTCCCTTTTTTTATTAGTCCCTTTTTGTCAGTCCTTCCTCATGCTTTCCGCCAATTCTCTCCTTTCAATTTCTGCCCATCCAATCCGTTTCGTTCATAATATTCTTTGCTCCTACCATGTTCCTTTTGTGTTCATCTTCGTTGACAAACATTCTTTCACTGTGGTCTTATTTTGAACTTCCTCTCTCCTATTCCTTCCTATTAATTGTTAAATTCTCTTACTTCCTCTACTTTTTTCTTTCTCCTCCTCCGTTCTACCTCCCTTTTCCTCTCTATCTCTTTCTCAAATGTCATCATCCTTGATTTTTCGACATTAATTCTATTCCTTTTGTTCCCAGTATCTCTCCATCTTCAAATCATTTCCTTCCTCTGATTGCCATACTTTTTTATCTGACAAGAGCTGTCTTTAAATCTATGAGGAACGCTATCACATTTTCGCCCTCGTTTTCCAATCGATCGATCGTCCTTCTCCCACTACTGAAACAGTGATCCCCTATGATTTTCCAAACAGTCTTTGTCCCCTCTGTTGTAAATCGGAACTATTACCCCTTCCTTTCATTCTTCCGGTAGTCTTCACATCCTCTTTCTCCTGCTTCCAATCCTCTATTTTTATTTATCTCTCACTTATGTTTTTTTCCTTTTATTTCTTTGTTTGTAATTCTTCTCTCTTCTTCGTATTCTTTCTGTTTTTCCTGTTCTCTCAACACCTCCTTCTCTCTCCCTTCTTTCTTTTTTCATGATTGTTCTGTATCTGTTTCTCTCTTCTGTGCACTGTTTGTACCACTAATCCGTTCTTTTATCTCTACCTTCCCCTTCATTTATCTCTTTCCATGTTATTGCCTTTTGAACACTCTCCTTCATATTTTCCACGCGTCTGTGCTCTCTCCGATTTCTTCTTCTTTTTGTTCCTCTAGTCTCTTTCTCTCTCTCTCTCTTTCTCTCCACAGTGTCTTTTGTCCGAGCGTCGCCCTCTTCCAGGCGTCCATCTATAAAAAATAAATAAAAATTGCATTATAAACAAAAGATGCCCACCGGCTATTTGTTAAAAACCGCTCTCCAAAATTGCGTTGGTTCCCCTGATGGCCTAATATAAATAGAAAAGTCTACACTAAAAAATTCCTTGACTCTGTGCTTTACCTAATTGTCTACTTTCCCTTTCCATTCGCCTTTAAATCCATGACAAATGCTATCACCTTTTCGTCATTTTTTTCCAATTCCTTTTCCGCCAATTTGTGTAGTGCATCTTCTACATCCCTTTCCTTTCTATTTCTCTTTCTAAACCACTGCATCTGTACGCCGTCTTTAATATCGTGATTCTCCTATAATTTTCCAAACACTTTTCTATCATCTCTTTTGTGAATTAGCACCATTACCCCTTCCCTTCATTCTTTCTATAGTCCCCCTCCTTTCCATACCTTGTTTATCAGTTTCTTCGGCTTTTCGTTCACACTATCTGTGGCGAAAATGCAAGCCTCATTTCTTATTGCTTACCTCACTGCCGCTTTCCCTTTCTTCAGTCTCTTAGTTACTCAAGCGCTTCTCTTGAAATTTCGTTTCCTTCCCACCTCCCCTAACACGTCCCCTTTTCTCTTGCTTTCGCTGTAGTAGGTACCTTAATAAAGTGCTGTTTTCAGTCATCTATTTATATTCCCCATCTATGTTTCCTCTGTTTCTCGATCCTTTTTTCTTTTGTACTTTTTTCTGTTTTCTAAATCCCCCCCTTTCCTTGTTTTCTTTCTCCATTATCATTCTATGTCTGTTTCTCTCTCACACACTCTTTCCATTATCTCTTCCTTCCCCTTCATTTACTTAGTACCACGTTATTGCCTCCAAATTTTTTCACTCCTCCTCTGTACGCCAAGGAGGAGGGTTGTTCTTATAGTCTACGACTCAACAGTGTCACTTGTCCATAACTGTATCTCCCTCCGTCTTTGCATCTTTCCATTTGCTGATCTTCCCTCGTAGACTAGTGGCCGTTTCTACCCGTTCCTCTTCAGTACCTTTTTCAATTACCGACCTCTCTTTTCCTGATAATTCCAGTAGATCCTCTCCCTCTTTATCTCTTGATTATCTACTCTTTTCTTTGTTCTGGAATTTACCCCCCCCCCCCCCCATATCATCCTCTCCTCTTTTCCATTTACCATACTTTCTATTTTATATGATACATCTTTAATTCGTTCTCTGTTGTGTACACATCCCCATGTTCTTCCCCTCCACTTCTACCCTTTCCTGTATGCCTTCCTCCTCTTTCATTTCACTCACTAAATATCCTGTCCTTTATTCCCCTCCAGTCATTTCCTTCAATCCATGGTTCAATCATCCCCACGGCATAATATCCTCTTACAAACTCTCTCCATTTTTGTTTCATCGTTTCTGTCTCTCTCTTCTCCATTCCCCTCCTTCCATTTTCTCTTTTACTGTTAATTTTCCCCTCCAAAAGCATTTTGCCTTCGTCTCTGTTCGCACTACTCGGTTTTCTTTGTTACTTGATCTGTGTTCTTCATCGTTTGTTATCTTATTTTAATTTCCTTTCCTCTTTCCCTCTCCGCAGCCTCTGCAATTTCTTTCTGTGCCTTTCTTTCTGCTTATATCAGCACCTTTTAACGTTATTTTGTTCCTTATATTTTCTCCTTCTTTTCTCTCATTTTCTTCTTCTAGATTTGCTATCTTGTCCATCAGTTCTTCTTTTTCTTCATTCCACTGCTCTTCCATTCCTTGCATTTCCTCCTTGGATCCTCTAATTTCTTCCATCATTTTCTCATTCATTTTATCTATTTGCTCCTTTGTATCCTTATCCGGCCGCATGATTTCTTCTTCCCCTCCTATCAATTCGCTCCTTTCCCCTCTTTGTCTCTTTTCTTGTTCTCTCCCTTTCTCTCTTCGTCTAGTATTACTTTTCTGTTTTATTTCGTTCTTTCTACGTCTCTACATTCCATATCAGATAATTCGATGTTTATTCTCTACACGTAGTCTGCCATTTCAATTTTTCTTCGTCTCTCTTTCACTTCCTCTTTCCTCATTTCCACATATGATTTTTCCGTCCTATCCTTTTCTTGTTCATCACTTTGTTCCCCTTGTTCGTTTATCTCGTAGTATTTTTTTGTTTTTGCCATCATTTTCCTTTCTTTTTTGACACCAGTTCTTTTCTTCTCCGCTTCGCTCTTCGTCTAATACAACTTTCCCGCCTCTCCCCGTTCTTTCTACCTTTCTACATTCAATATCAGATCATCGATGTTTTCTCGCATTGCTGAATATGTAGTCTGCGTTTCCATTTTCCTTTTTTCCTCCATCTTTCACGTCTTCTCCCCTCATTTCCACATCTGAAGCTCGCCAAGATTTTCAAATTTTTCCGTCTTTCCCTTAGATATTCGGTACCCACCCCGTTATACCTTTTTCCCCTCGTGCATTCGAGATTTTCCCTCTTCTTGTTCTTCTCTCCACCTCTTCTCTCTGGTCTGTTTCTTCAGTAATATTTCCTTTATTGTTCCTTCTCGTATTTTGCCACCCTGTGTCCACTCTCCTTCCCTGTCTTCTCCCATTCCTTCCCAGTTTACTACTTCTGTGTTTTTCCTGAAAGTTTCTTCATGCTCTACCGTAGTTCGCATTTCAACATTTCTTCTTCCCTCCTTGTTTCCATACTGAACCCCGCTATTATTTTTATATTCTTCTGTCCTTCTCTTAGATATTTCGGTACCCACTCAGTTATCAGTTATTTTCCCTCTCTATTGCTCGATTACTTGTTAGTTCTTCTAACATGCTTTGCTTCCTTCCTCTTCGTCTCTCAACCTCTTCCCTCATATCCGTCTCTGTGCACTCATCCTGTTCCATCCCTTGTTGACACCAGTTAGGTAACTTTCTCAACCCCCTCGTATTTTTCCTTCTTTATCCTTCTTGAAACCCTGTTAAATATAATCGGAACCTTTTCCTGTAATGCTATCCCAGTCTTTGGTGCATCCTGATCTGGGAATAATTCCAGGAAACATTCCAGGAAGATTTGGAAAAGATTTCCACAGATCTCTCGTGTATTCTACTCTTCTAATTCAAACTCTTCCATAAAAAAATGTATCAGAACTCCAGAAATGAAAGAAGATGTTAAATAAGAATTTTCTAGACACCTTCATACACCACTAACACAAAAACGTGTCTTCCCAATTCCCTGTATCAGGGTTGTAGAAGACGGATTTTTTCAAATGAGAAACGCATATCATATTTCATTTAAATCAGATTTTTTTGGCACCTTACTAGAATGTATTCATTACAGTTCAAAAGACAAATGCAAGAATTTTTTGCGAACGATCTGCTGCCTAAATATATGCGCGAAAAGGCGGAGAAAGGCGGAGGAAGAGGCGATCAGACGACGAGAGTCGCTGATGAGCAAGAAGAAGAGCCTCACACCTTTGGCAACAGTTGTAGAGGTGAGCCCACTTGAAATCCGCGCAAGTACAAGGAACTCATTTTAGGAACCACAAACTTCAAAATTGGACGCCGGTTTGGTGGACCACACGTCAGTCATGAAGGCCGCGATTCCAGTGCTTCCCGTACCTTTAGCTTGGTTATGTTTAATCCTGAACATTTTTATTCCCGGTTTCGGTAATTTTTACGTTCCGCTAACCCACGTTCTAATCGTTTTCTTGCAGGAACCATCCTCAGCGGATTTCTGTGCTTGTGTATAGGAAAACCGAGATTCTCGCAGAAAGACGGACCGAAACCCAGAATAGGCGCTTGCATTATAGACTTTTTCATAGGATGCGGACAGCTGTTTACAGTATTATTCTGCCTGGTCGGTTGGGGATGGTCCATCTGGTGGGGAATTATAATGCTTAAATTGGCGAGTAAGTGCTTGCGACGCGGAGACGTTCGGCGTTTTAATTTTTAATCGATAGAAAAATATCGCAAGATCAGACGGGCGGAGAAGGCGATGGAGGAGGACGCTCAAAACGCGGCGACCCTCAATCACCTGGACGTCGAGAGGGGAGTGTAATACGAACAATTTGTCTTTTTCTAAAAGGTGTACCCATTTACTATTGTGGAGGTTTCGGATCTACGAAGCTATCTCAGTGTTCAAGCGGAATACTGTTAGTGTAAGGAGGATAGTTTTTCATATGACAATAGATTTGTACAGTAGGTAATAAACTTTTTATACAATTGTTAAGTAAATATAGCAAAATATTTTTGCTGCCCGTTGTTAAAGAATTTTGTAACAAAAACTGGAAGCTTCTTTCGATATTGCATGCTTCCGAAAGGTTGTAGCTGATAAACCACTTCTTCCAGTGCAGATTTTGGATGGGATGCGTGTGCGACCAAGTTACATCGATCATTTCATACATATCAGACCTGCAAATGGAAGTACCTAGCTTAAAATTATATGAAATAAGAAAATACTTGTAAAGCAATTTGTACATAATCTATCTAAAGGAGTGTATTTTATTGTACCTAAACTTATGTTAAAGTAAACTACAAAGTGGATCAAGATTGTCAATAGTTATTTACCCTCGAAAAGATTTGCGGGAACTATTTTTAATTACAACCTTAATGGGTAGCACCACTTCAAGGGACATGTCAAATGGTCATGGTCTTGTACTGTTCCACTTAAGGAATTTAAATTCAATTTACTACATGAAACGGCGTAAAAGAAAATTCAAGATTAAGGGTCCGAAAAAGCAAGACGATAAACGGCTAAGAAAAATCCCACCGGAAATTTTAAAAGTAATAGAACGGGGAGCCCCTAACTAAGGTAGGAATGACGTGCACGTGGGTCTGCCACAGGAGTGTAACCTGAAACGTTGGCAACAGTTGTCCTTGTCCCTGGGACAGTTAGGCCAATAACGCTAATGCCAGGGGATACTGCTAGACCAAGTTCTGGCCTCAGGATTGGAGCAAAAAAGTGGAAATGTTCAAGAAGGAGTGCGGTTGTAGGAAGAGGGATTACGATCAATAAACGATTAAACCGGACGGAAGACGGTCGATTCAAGGCAGCGCAAATTTTTAAATATAGAATCGGACGCGACATGGCTTTCTAAAGACTTCCCCAAAGTACGCGCATCAATCCCTCCAATACCAAGCGCCTGGCTACGCCAATGGCTTATACTGTTGTTTGCAGTTTGGATGCGATTCCGCCACAGTTGCGTAAGATCTCAAAAGATCGTATTCGTATCCTAATGAGCACCCCCCCGGTGCTAAAGTTTCCCCTGACGAAATATTTAGTACTTTTAGCAATTGTGTCATACGGAGAACCCTTGAGTAAGTGAAGGAGGTGTGAGAATTGAAGGACGTATAAAACAATGCTGGAATAGGCCCCCTTGGACCAGCGATATGGAAGCTCGACTGCGGTCTCTAGTTCGAAAAAAGGAAGGTTATACACTGCCTTTTCGCTTTGAGATCAACCCGGAAAAAAAAATTTTCTTATAGACTGTGGCCTGTAGAATCCATAATTTCAAACAGTTTCTAGATTGGGCTACTAGTTCAAAAGTTACAGCCCTTTGAATTTTTTTCTAGTCTATAACTTTTGATTGAGAAGTCTGATCGAAAAAGTACAAATTGATTTGGACTCTACGCACCCAAATTAATAAGAAAAAGTGTTTTCCCCAGAATTTTTGGTGTAGCCGATTTTTGGTAAAAAAAAGGAAGGTAAAACATTGCCTTTTTTTGAGCCCCGGAAAAAAAATTTTTAATAGAATGTGGCCTGTAGAATCCATAATTTCAAACAGTTCCAAGATCAGGCTACTAGATCAAAAGTTACAGCCCTTTGAATTTTTTGGCGAAATTCTGACCGCGCCAATCGATAGCGCTGGTCGAGACCTTTCCAACGAGGGGTCGGAAGGCATATCTACGACGCACCGTTCTCGAGATATTACGGTTTGTCAGAATTTATGGTCGAAATTTCAAACCGTAATATCTCAAGAACGGTGCGTCGTAGATATGCCTTCCGACCCCTCGTTGGAAAGGTCTAGAAGGCAGTTATTATTACCTTCCTTTTTTACCAAAAATCGACTGCACCAAAATTTCTCGGGAAAACACTTTTTCTTATTAATTTTGGTGCGTAGAATCCAAAACAATTCGTACTTTTTCGATCAGACTTCTCAATCAAAAGTTATAGACTAGAAACCAATTTCGAAAGAAAATTCAAAGGGCTGTAACTTTTGAACTAGTAGCCCAATCTTGGAACTGTTTGAAATTATGGATTCTACAGGCCACATTCTATAAGAAAATTTTTTTTCCGGGTCGATCTGAGACAATTTTTTTTGAGGGCCTCAAAAAAAGGCAGTGTATAACCTTCCTTTTTTACCAAAAATCGACTGCACCAAAATTTCTCGGGAAAACACTTTTTCTTATTAATTTTGGTGCGTAGAATCCAAAACAATTCGTACTTTTTCGATCAGACTTCTCAATCAAAAGTTATAGACTAGAAACCAATTTCGAAAAAAAATTCAAAGGGCTGTAACTTTTGAACTAGTAGCCCAATCTTGGAACTGTTTGAAATTATGGATTCTACAGGCCACATTCTATAAGAACATTTTTTTCCCGGTAGATGTGAGACAATTTTTTTTTCGGGGCCCAGAAAAAGGCAGTGTATAACCTTCCTTTTTACCAAAAATCGACTACACCAAAATTTCTCGGGAAAACACTTTTTCTTATTAATTTGGGTGCGTAGAATCCAAATCAATTCGTACTTTTTCGATCAGACTTCTCAGTCAAAAGTTATAGACTAGAAACCAATTTCGAAAGAAAATTCAAAGGGCTGTAACTTTTGAACTAGTAGCCCAATCTTGGAACTGTTTGAAATTATGGATTCTACAAGCCACATTCTATAAGAAAATTTGTTTTCCGGATCGATCTGAGACAATTTTTTTTTCGGGGCCCAAAAAAAGGCAGTAATNAGTGTATAACCTTCCTTTTTTACCAAAAATCGACTACACCAAAATTTCTCGGGAAAACACTTTTTCTTATTAATTTTGGTGCGTAGAATCCCAAAACAATTCGTACTTTTTCGATTAGACTTCTCAATCAAAAGTTATAGACTAGAAACCAATTTCGAAAGAAAATGCAAAGGGCTGTAACTTTTGAACTAGTAGCCCAATCTTGGAACTGTTTGAAATTATGGATTCTACAGGCCACATTCTATAAGAAAATTTTTTCCCGGGTCGATCTTAGACAATTTTTTTTTGGGCCTCAAAAAAAGGCAGGGTATAACCTTCCTTTTTTACCAAAAATCGACTACACCAAAATTTCTCGGGAAAACACTTTTTCTTATTAATTTTGGTGCGTAGAATCCCAAAACAATTCGTACTTTTTCGATTAGACTTCTCAATCAAAAGTTATAGACTAGAAACCAATTTCGAAAGAAAATTCAAAGGGCTGTAACTTTTGAACTAGTAGCCCAATCTTGGAACTGTTTGAAATTATGGATTCTACAGGCCACATTCTATAAGAAAATTTTTTTCCGGGTCGATCTGAGACAATTTTTTTTTGTGCCTCAAAAAAAGGCAGTGTACGACCTTCCTTTTTTACCAAAAATCGACTGCACTAAAATTTCTCGGGCAAACACTTTTTCTTATTAATTTTGGTGCGTAGAATCCAAAACAATTCGTACTTTTTCGATCAGACTTCTCAATCAAAAGTTAGACTAGAAACCAATTTAGAAATAAAATTGAAAGGGCTATAACTTTTGAACTAGTAGCCCAATCTTGGAACTGTTTGAAATTATGGATTCTACAGGCCACATTCTATAAGAAAATTTTGTTTCCGGATCGATCTGAGACAATTTTTTTTTCGGGGCTCAAAAAAAGGCAGTGTATAACCTTCCTTTTTTACCAAAAATCGACTGCACCAAAATTTCTCGGGAAAACACTTTTTTTTATTAATTTTGGTGCGTAGAATTCAAAACAATTCGTACTTTTTCGATCAGACTTCTCAATCAAAAGTTATAGACTAGAAACCAATTTCGAAAAAAAATTCAAAGGGCTGTAACCTTTGAACTAGTAGCCCAATCTTGGAACTGTTTGAAATTATGGATTCTACAGGCCACATTCTATAAGAAAATTTTTTTTTCGGGTCGATCTGAGACAATTTTTTTTTTCGGGCTCAAAAAAAGGCAGTGTATAACCTTCCTTTTTTACCAAAAATCGACTGCACCAAAATTTCTCGGGAAAACACTTTTTCTTATTAATTTTGGTGCGTAAAATCCAAAACAATTCGTACTTTTTCGATCAGACTTCTCAATCAAAAGTTATAGACTAGAAACCAATTTCGAAAAAAAATTCAAAGGGCTGTAACTTTTAAACTAGTAGCCCAATCTTGGAACTGTTTGAAATTATGGATTCTACAGGCCACATTCTATAAGAAAAATTTTTTTCCGGATCGATCTGAGACAATTTTTTTTGGGGGGTTCAAAAAAAGGCAGTTATTTACCTTCCTTTTTTACCAAAAATCGACTGCACCAAAATTTCTCGGGAAAACACTTTTTTCTTATTAATTTTGGTGCGTAGAATCCAAATCAATTCGTACTTTTTCGATCAGACTTCTCAATCAAAAGTTATAGACTAGAAACCAATTTCGAAAAAAAAATTCAAAGGGCTGTAACTTTTGAACTAGTAGCCCAATCTTGGAACTGTTTGAAATTATGGATTCTACAGGCCCCATTCTATAAGAAATTTTTTTTTCCGGGTCGATCTGAGACAATTTTTTTTTCGGGCCTCAAAAAAAGGCAGTGTTATACCTTCCTTTTTTACCAAAAACCGACTGCACCAAAATTTCTCGGGAAAACACTTTTTCTTATTAATTTTGGTGCGTAGAATCCAAAACAATTCGTACTTTTTCGATCAGACTTCTCAATCCAAAGTTATAGACTAGAAACCAATTTCGAAAGAAAATTCAAAGGGCTGTAACTTTTGCACTAGTAGCCCAATCTTCAAAGCCATCGAATCTTTGAAGAAGCTTCCATATATTATGCAAGATGCACAACCCTTCCAATTGTTTCAAGTTTACGTTCCCATATTCTCCTCATCAATATTGATAGAATTTGTAGCGTTGAGATGGCAACGCCACAATTCTGCGTGTACTGTGAAAAAAACCTAGACACAAAAAGATTGCAAACATGATGCGCTGTACCACTAAACCGCCTCGTGAAGCGATCATGGTCTTGCACCTTAATTTCATAACCATCTATGGGATACTTCTGGAACAGGTGATTAGGGAAGCGACAGTTCAAAAACACATCTTCGTTTAATAATTTACTTATTAGCATCGAAATAAATTACTTACATTATCGAAAAAAAAATCAATTGACTCGGTTAAAACGATTCTAGGTACTTTGTCTTTGTAGTTCTACCAATGAAAGACCGCAAGATAATAATAGTAATAGAACAACATAGCGACTCAAAGACAAAATGCTAGATACTATTTGGCATACATTTATGCATGTATATAATAATACTTCTGAGATAATTGAAATATTTACATATAGCTCTGACGATACATACATTTAATTGTATAGAAGTGTTTGCAATGTACTTTTGTATGTATGTATTTGTTTAATGTATTTTTGAACGTGTAAGCTGTGGAGTTTCGTTTTGCATTGAGAAATCGCAGTCTCGCGTTTCGTCCAATGTAAAACGACAAATTGTAAAAGGTTGGAGAGTAGAGGTGTAGTAATAGACAGAAACAGCTAGCACTGCTAGAGGCACAGATAATTGACTCAAACTAATGTTTATTACGACAACGTGTATTGTAATGCTGAACCAGCCCAAAAACACTACGTAACATAAATACACAGCAGGAACTAGTGACATCTGACGGCTCTAAAACCCAACAAAAATTTACCACGTCAAACGTCAAATCTAATCACTGTTAATATTAAACTGTGTTACTTTTAGCTAAAGACAGTGATTTACACCTAAAAAAAAAGGTCGTGCAGAAATTTAAAATCTTTCACTCATTTTGGTCCTCGTTTTTGACACGAAATAATACTTAATTACTTTAGGTTTTGCCAGTCGCTGAACGCCACAAAAAAAAAAGCAATTTACCGTCCAGATTTCAAACAACTGCACAATTATAAATTAAAATCTATAAATAGTACGAACAATATTGTAATACTATTAGTATCATCTAAACTAAGTGTCTTTTACAAATGAATTAGGTGGCTTAAATCGAGTATTTTAAGTTAGCAGCCTCCGCACTAGAATTAGAAACCGAAACAAAAAAAAATTAACAAACTATAAATTCGCAAATTAAGTTTAATGCGCGAACTGCCCACAACGCTCACAACGGTAAGCTTTGTGCCCAGTACCCTAATAACAAAACGCTCGTTCCGAACGAACGATCTACGATACAACCATTATTGCACATGTGATTATGGCGTACACACACAGACAGACACTACTAATTATTATTGACATCGAGTTTATGCAAAGCGCGCGTACCTAACGTGCGTTTCCGCGGTTAGATGACGAAATTGGGAAGACGTCGAACAAAACTCGGTTAGGTATTTTGATACGTTTCGTAATGTAAAATTGAGATCTTAGTAATCAACGGATAAAAGTGAAGCAATCGTTTGATAAGTAGAAAAATATTTAATAAAGTAAGCTCAAAAATACGATACTTTGTAAATTTTGTCTCATATTTTTGTTTAAATCTATGATATGTGTTACAAATATGTACTTTTTAACGTTGAATATGTATAGCAATTGATTCGATAAGCAAGTTTTGTACAAATGAAAAAATCTCTTGGCCAGCGTGGGATGATGTGCAATATTAAAATGAACCTCATCAGCGAGTAGGGTTGAAAGGAACACAAAGATCTTCTATAAAACTATATTAAATTCTACTTAAGAGCTACATTACGTCGTTGCAAATGAATGTGTTTAACACGAATTTTTACTGCAGTCGAGGCATCGAGTGCCGGCCACATATCTGATATGCACCTTCCCCTCCACCGTCGGCACTCGCGCATGCGCAGAGTCAAAAGTTTATAAAAACATTATCAATAGCTTCTTACGTACTCATATCACCTTTTGTTACTTTTAAATATATTGTAAAATTCCATCAAATTAAATCTGTTGCATCAAATTATTTTAATTAAACTAAATTTACCATACCTAACATACGTAGAGGGATTTTAATTACGAACTACATAAAGCATATATATTTATTAAGTACTTCAACAGTAAACGTACGTGCGATGAATTACGAATAAACCAACGCACATACGAATATTTGTCGCGTACCAATTTTAGTTTTAGGATATGTATTGGTCTCTGAAGGGTGGGAGAAACTTAAAAACGTTCTTATTCCTGGTCTTGATCCATACGCCGTTCGCCCGATCCGTTAGTCGACGAATTACTGTCGCCGTTACGTATTGACATGGTGCGCGATGAGGAGAAACAGAGCTTCATTATGAAGGGAAACTTGGTACCTGCAATAAATTTTTTTTTATGTTTACGTTCTGAGTGCTCTGCAGTTTAGTAGTTAGGGGGAAGTATTAAGCAGGAATATCCGAGCCATGCAGCAATCCCTTAAAAAGTAAGCTAATAAAGTATCGATCATCGACCAAAGAAGTACATTACAACAATCGTTTGCGCCACCTTTGGTGGTAACACTATCAAGTTACAGCCAATGATGGGAATAATGGTACCCCTTTATCTATCAGCCACAAAATAAAAAGCAATCGACATACTTTAAATATATTTTCAAACTTGAATTTTTAGATTACAACCATGATGCGCTGCACCACTAAACCACCCTGAGATGTGGTCATGATCTCGCACCGCTACCATATTGTTACGTACTGTAATGTGGAGACGGGCTCAGTTTACCGGTGAAGTTTAGAGTTCGGAGGAAATCGAAGTGACAATTCGTCAAATAAAGGGAAATATGTCAGTTAGCGAAGAAGTTCAATCCATTGCTTCAGAGCCTGCTAGGCAAGGATTGCGTTTAGATACCCCAATTTTTTATGGGAGAGGTACAAGCAGTTGCAAAAGCAAATAACTGGACGGCACGACAATACATTTTGGCGATCTGCACTAAACATGAAAAATGAGCAAAAGGAGAATTTTTGTTTGATAACGGAGAAAGAGATATTCAGTTTGGGTCGGCACATAAAAGGGCCAGCGCATCGGGCATAACTAAAAGCTCGGGTACAAAGATCCAAGGAGTCTGCAAGATTATGAGGCGGATATAGTGAGATACCGATGCATCCCGTAGTGTGCCGGAACAAATTTCCACCAAACAATTCGCTGCTGGAACCTGAAATACTGACATTCAGCAGGCAGTGAGAAGCCAATGGTGGAGCTCTGACCCTAACACTAGAAATTGAAGCCACGAAACCATCAATGCTTCAATCACACGCCAAAGTCGGGAAGAAATCGATTTCCAGGCCACAATTAAAGAGATTGAAGCCGATGGAAAATCTCGAAAAATGTGAAAAAAGCCGCCCTTAGGAACTGGAGCATTTGAAGAGTGCATGCAACCTATCCGTCAACCACTTAGAAGATTGCCGTTGGCTAAGAGGGAGGAGTCGGAGAAAAGATTGTCCAAGATATGAAGAAGGAAAAATGTGATTGAGGAATCAAATAGTCCTACGCTGAAACTAAACTCCCAATTAAATTTGTCGGCGAAAATGGCAAAAAGCCAGCTATCCGTTACCGAAAATTGACGACATATTAGATTCGCATTCGTATCGTATAGGTGGCACTCCTTAGGTACGTTTTGAGATCGCAACGACAGTCGTGGTATGACTGCCTAGATCGCCAGCTTTACTCTTACTGGAATTAGCTCCAGAAGATAAGGAAAATACTGCCTTTACCCTTGAATCCACATTATGGTACATTACCGTAGTAGAAGACCTATGTCCACATCCATGATGGCGGATGGAGCGAGAGAAGCAGATAGACAGGTGGTCCAAAATGGCGGATTTAGTAACTAATAAAATGGCGACCAATTCAAGATGGCACCCAAGAAAATGGCTGAAGTAGAAACTAATAAAAAGGCGACCGATCCACGATTGTGGATCTAGTGACTAATAAAATGGCGCTCAACAAAATGACGGAATTAGAGACTAATAAAATGGCGCCTCACAAAATGGCAGATTTAATAACTAATAAAATGGCGACCGATTCAAGATGGCGGATTTAGTGACACAAAATGGCGCTCGATCCAAAATGGCGAACCACACCGCTCATTGGCTGTGACGCCACAGGGGGCGGCCTCTAAAGGTCACGCCTACCGTATCCCATTGGCCAAGGGGAGGGGCAGAGGGGGCGTGCTTGTCTCTGATTGGCCGTGACGTCACGAGCTCGTCTCTGATTGGTGTGACGTCACTTCCTGATCCAGAACATACATAGGTCTTCTATTTACCGTCATGCCATTCGGATTGTGAAATGCGCCAGCCACTTTTGAGCGACTAGTGGACTCGGTTCTTCAGCGATTATTCTGAAACACTTGCCTGGCTTACATTAAGAACCTTGAAGATGTATTCCACCGACTCGGAGAGGCCCAAAGTCCCAAAAAGTGCAATTTCTCTTGAGTATGCGACTTTTGATCTACTTACCAACGTTATCCCTATGGGAAGCTCGAGTTTCGAACTGGGTATTGAAGTATTTTCAATGGCCTCCTCCAGGGGGAATCAGCAACGTCATCCATTCAGGTGAAAGAAACCTGTCAAATGAATCGTTAGGGATTTTCCAAGGTTACCGCCGAGACATCCAGTGACCTTCCAAGACTACAAGGTAACTAACACGGTGTAATCTATCTGGATGTTAAGCGAATTTCGAAAATTACCCCCTGGCCAGCGAGTGAACCTTTTATACCTACCAAGGCTACCACCATGAGAAGCAAGCATCCTATCTACATTACTATCAAGCTACTTTTCAAGGTCACCATCGTTGCTTGCCAGGATGACCATCTGGAAATAAACATACCTAAACCCGCCGACGCAAAACTCTTTTTGTTGACCGAGTCCTTAATTATCGGTCCACTGCGACCGAACGCATAAATGGCAGTACTCGGCACCAATAGGCCACGGAAACTCGGACTGGTATCAAGGGTTTACAGAATCAACTAACAGAATAATAATCTCTTTATTATAATAGGCGTAGTTCAGCCTAGGTCTGCTTCTTACAGTACTAAAATTTAAGGCCTTACCGTCAGCCCCAATAAACATTTTTTTTGACCGCAAAGTTCACACTCATACATGGCACAGGCATAGAAAAAAAGTTTCTTCTCGGAGTTTTAAGGTAGGAGATGATTTGAAGCGGTGGCATGCAGATAAAGAAAGAATTGTACATACCTGGACTGTCAATGGCGGCATGATTGCAAGCCATAACGGCCGCCACCGCCTCGCTGGTGTTATCGAACTCTAATAATCCGGAACTAGAACGCTCGGATTTCATTGGGAATAATTTAACAGCTTTAGGAGGGATCACATCGTAGTCTTTGAACACTTGTATTAATTCGTTTTCCGTCACTTGCGGGGGAGTGTTAAAAAAGTGCAAAATCTGCAAACGGCAAAATGTTTTGAGTTGTCTCCTTTAGGGAGAGGGACTCACCTTGCTCGGCGGCTGGATGCGATTTTTACTCGCCATCGTGGGGTTCATAAACCGGTTGTTTTTGTTGGTTATGTACTCTTTGTAGGAGGGGGATTTGTCGGGTAGGGGGTAAGGGTTGGTGACCTCGCTGAGGAAGGGTTGCTTGCTAAACGCCAATTGGAGTTTGTGCTCTGCGCAGTTGTTGTTTCGGTTCTCCTCCTCCTTTAGAATGGGGGCGGCGCCTGTTAAGCCCACAATGACGTTGTTCAAATTTTGAACGCATCTTTCGACGGCGACACCATCGCCCAGTTGCACCATGGCCGTTCCTTCCTTCGACTTTAGAAACTTTATCTGCAAGACGATTGTTAGTCGAGCGGGGGGCGTCTGGAGGGTCCACTTACCCGTGCTACATTTCCGTAGAGACACATGAGGTTGAAGAGCTTATCGGCGTTTGTACGTAACGGGTCCAACCCGTAAACCATCAACACGGATCCGGGTTGTTGAAAGGTGGTGTTTCGTTGTTCTCGATACTCCGCGATCGGCGGCGGTGCGCCCTTTCTGTAATTATCCGGTCCGAAGGACTCGCCGTAACCTTGCATCTCCTCGTAACGCTGCGGCTCGTGCGAATAAGCATCTGCAACGATTAAATTACATTAACCGGGACCGTGGACAAGTACCAAGAATAACGTGGAAGAAATTTTAATTCTGTACCGCTAGCAAAACCTTCGTCCTCACTTTATATAAATAATTACGAGCTTTGTAGAACGTTCGCAAAAGAGAAAATCCAATTAAGCGCTTCAATTAATGTTTCAAAGTGTAACTATGAACAATTAACGAGTTGTGGAAGTTTTAAATAAACTATACGCTCTAGAGAAATCTATTAAATTATGGTCATTTATCGCAATCGACATAAAAGCGAGACGGTTCGTTAATTAAACTACAAAAATACGATAATTGTGAGGACGTTAATACATTTTCTCGCACCGATTAATTTGGAAATACTCAAAGCAGTTCAAGTCATTTTTTCCCCTTTATCTCAACTGCATAAAACCCTTCTCTATTTTCTTCTCTTCTTCATACATTTTGGTTATTCTCATTATCATGGTCCCTTATCAAAACGGGTCTGGAGAACCACCGAGAGGTCTGAGGGCTTCTCGGTTATGCATTATCCACTGAAAACAAGGACAGTTTTCAGTACTTGTCATCATCATTTTTCATGGAGAACCATAAAAATTTCTTCGACTGGGCACCTCGAGATGTGTATCCCCTTCCGCACATTCACATTCCTCGAGATATGTTATAATTTTTTGAAGGAAAAGGTCTGGGGGGTCTGGAATACTCCCGGGAACAAAAGAAGTTCGATGGCTTCTCGGATATGCATTCTCCCCTCAAAACATTGACAGTCTTCAGTAGTTGCCTTCATCATTTTCCAGGGAGAAACATAAAAACTTGGTTGACTGAGAGGTATTAACTTTCTTTTTTTCATGGGGGGTATTCCATACCCCCCAGAGATGTGTATCCCCTTCCACACATTCACATTCCTCGAGATATGTTATAATTTTTTGAAGGAAAAGGTCTGGGGGGTCTGGAATACCCCCAGGAATAAAAGAAGTCCGATGGCTTCTCGGATATGCATTCTCCCCTCAAAACATTGACAGTCTTCAGTAGTTGCCTTCATCATTTTCCAGGGAGAAACATAAAAACTTGGTTGACTGAGAGGTATTGACTTTCTTTTTTTCCAGAGATGTCTATTCCCTTCCACACATTCACATTCCTCGAGATATGTTATAATTTTTTGAAGGAAAAGGTCTGGGGGGTCTGGAATACCCCCAGGAATTAAAGAAGTCCGATGGCTTCTCGGATATGCATTCTCCCCTCAAAACATTGACAGTCTTCAGTAGTTGCCTTCATCATTTTCCAGGGAGAAACATAAAAACTTGGTTGACTGAGAGGTATTAACTTTCTTTTTTTCATGGGGGGTATTCCATACCCCCCAGAGATGTGTATCCCCTTCCACACATTCACATTCCTCGAGATATGTTATAATTTTTTGAAGGAAAAGGTCTGGGGGTCTGGAATACCCCCAGAAATAAAAGAAGAGAAATTAAAATTATACCCACCTTCTCATTTCATTTGGGCGCAACACGAAAATTAGCTTTCGACTGGCACGTGGGGGTTACATAAAGGAATAACTGAAAAGGTTTTTTGCACAATAGAGGGGCGAGAGTGGATCGCTTTGGCCACCTTTGCGAAATTGGCGAGACGAGTAGGATTTCGTATTCAATTTCCGTGAAGGATTTCGCTCATGGATGTCATCAAAGGGAAGCGATACGATTTATGAGGGATCTCCGCTCGGAAAATCACGTTTCAGTTTCGTCCGAAACTTTTGGGAGAAATTCGGCGCGGCCACTGGAGTGGCATTAAATTGGAACAGGTTTCCTGGAAAAGCTTGCAATCGAAATTGGTTGTTGCAAAAATTCACCCCATTTGCATTAAAAAAAGAAAGTTGCGAGACTTTCATTACAGATGGCGCTATACCGCATAGGATTCTCTGCAAATGCAAAGTCAAAGAGAATTATTAAGCTCGTTTTTTCAATGCGCACAAAGCGATCGCGAAAACTTCAAAGTAGAAACATTTAATATTGAAAAATAAGTTGGACGCGCGCTTAATTTAGAATGCATTAAAGAAGGCCCTCTTTCGAGCGCAAAGTGTATTAAACTGCGGAAATTTTTAGTAGAATTTCTCACATTTCGCATAATTTATGAGGAAACTTATTTCCATTCGTTCTTCTCGTCCAATTACAACGTACCGGAGCACCGTCTAGTTTGTATTGATGAATTCGTAATTAACCGCTCGGTAAATTTTCGTATATGACTGTTACGACCATGTATATCTCTCGTTACGCGTTTAAACATTAATGTTGATATTTAACGTAATGAGTGGAGATTTAATAGAATTACGAGCGAGCGGTGTCTTTAAAAAGATTTACTGCACGAACAAACATGCTTTCGGTGCATTTGCGTTGAACGCTGGCCAATTTTATTCTGCATATACCTCAAGAGAGTATTTTATTGCACTTTAATGGCGGCACATTTAGTATTGGATTATTTATTGCCGTTTGTCCATTCCATGCGAAATGATTACTTGTTCAATATTTACTTTTGCTCCCAATAGCGTCATTTATATCCCTATTATTTGATTATGTGAAGAGACTTTCATGTGTCTCGTAGAATGGCGCGTTTCTCATCCCAAAAGGTATACGGCGCGGTTTGCCTCAAGAGAGGAAGAGTTTCGATGACTTCCCCGGCTATGGAACTTTTTTCGAGGGGGAACCATTTAAGCTTTTTTGACCGGGGGCTATTCATAACCCCCCCTCTCTCCAGACCACTTGTTATACACTTTCACATTCATCGTGCCACCGGGGAGTATGGAATACGTGCCACCGGGGAGTATGGAATACCCCCCAAGAGAGATAAGAAGAGTTTCGAGGACTTCCCGGCTATGAATCTTTTTCTAGAAGGAACCATCGAAGGTTTTTTTGACCGGGGGCCATTCATAACCCCCACGTCACCCCGGTGATACACTTTCCTTTCGAAATGTTCACATTCATCGTGCCACCGGGGGGTTTGGGGGGGTATGGAATACCCCCCAAGAGAGAGAAGAAGAGTTTCGATGACTTCCCGGCTATGAATCTTTTTCTAGAGGGAACCATCGAAGCTTTTTTTGACCGGGGGCCATTCATAACCCCCCCGTCACCCCGGTGATACACTTTCCTTTCGAAATGTTCACATTCATCGTGCCACCGGGGGGTTTGGGGGGTATGGAATACCCCCCAAGAGAGAGAAGAAGAGTTTCGATAACTTCCCGGCTATGAATCTTTTTCTAGAGGGAACCATCGAAGCTTTTTTTGACCGGGGGCCATTCATAACCCCCCGTCACCCCGGTGATACACTTTCCTTTCGAAATGTTCACATTCATCGTGCCACCGGGGGGTTTGGGGGGTATGGAATACCTCCCAAGAGAGAGAAGAAGAGTTTCGATGACTTCCCGGCTATGAATCTTTTTCTAGAGGGAACCATCGAAGCTTTTTTTGACCCGGCCATTCATAAACCCCCCGTCACCCCGCGGTGATACACTTTTCCTTTCGAGAATTTCACATTCATCGGGCCACCCGGGGGTTTGGGCGTATGGAATACCCCCCAATGAGAGAGAAGAGAGTTTCAGTGACTTCCCGGCTAAGAATCTTTTTCTAGAGGAACCATCGAAGCTTTTTTTGACCGGGGGCCATTCATAACCCCCCCCCGTCACCCCGGTGATACGCTTTCCTTTCGAAATGTTCACATTCATCGTGCCACCGGGGGGTTTGGGGGGTATGGAATACCCCCCAAGAGAGAGAAGAGTTTCGATGACGGCTATGGATCATTTTCGAGGGAGAACCATCGAAGCTTTTTTTGACCGGGGGCCATTCATAACCCCCCCGTCACCTCGGTGATACACTTTCATTTTTAAATGTTCACATTCATCGTGCCACTGGGGGGTTTGGGGGGTATGGAATACCCCCCAAGAGAGAGAAGATGAGTTTCGGCGACTTCCCGGCTATGGATCTTTTTCTAGGAGGAACCATCGAAGCTTTTTTTGACTGGGGGCTATTCATAACCCCCCCGTCACCCCGGTGATACGCATTCCTTTCGAAATGTTCACATTCATCGTGCCACCGGGGGGTTTGGGGGGTATCCAAGAGAGAGAAGAGTTTCGATGACTTCCCGGCTATGAATCTGTTTCTAGGGGGAACCATCGTAGCTTTTTTTGACCGGGGGCCATTCATAACCCCCCGTCACCCCGGTGATACACTTTCCTTTCCAAATGTTTACATTCATCGTGCCACCGGGGGGTTTGGGGGGTAGGGAAAGAGAGAGAGAGAAGAAGAGTTTCGATGACTTACCGGCTATGAATCATTTTCGAGGGGGAACCATCGAAGCTTTTTTTGACTGGACCATTCCCCCCAGAGACACGCTATTCTTTCGAAACGTTCACATTCACCGTATCACCGGAGGGTCTGGGGGGTATGGAATACGAACGGAGAAAAGAAAGTAGAAAAGATGAAAAGGAATTGATGGAGAAGAATCAGGAAGCAAACCCGGAAGGAAACGATTTAATGGTAGAAATCTAGTAGGCAGAATTTACAGAATTTCGACTCAATCTCTACAGGACAAGATCTCTGCAGAATATTCACATTTCTACCAAGTCTACCCAGATTCTCTATGGGATCTCTATAAAATCGTTACCTATACTCTGCACCCTCAGTACCCAAGTCTGACGTCATGACTTGTTATTAAAAAAACTTAACTCAGCATTTCCACCCCCTAAACAGTCAATTTATGTGTTTATGATAGATTGCTAATCCATTAACGTAATGTTATTTAGTTCTCAATTAGCAATTTCACTAACAGAAACGCGGCTTTTTGTTGACGCATTCAGCTGGAAAATCAAATATTTTGTTTTGCTTGCATTTGCAAACATTTCGCGAAATTGAATATAAATCGTATTTCATAATTAAAGCGGAGAAACTGGCCCCGTGCTTTTTTCGATTAATTTTCTCCTTTTCGAGGGTAATACGTCGTGTAATTGCCTCTTTACTGTTGCATATAATCGCGTGGAAAACGTATTCGATAAAAGAAAGATTTAGTGAATTGCCCCCCCCCCCCGCCCCTCCAAATAAATCAAAGGGCGCGTAATATTTTTATCAATTTTTCGTCGGATTTTAAGAGTTTTCGGGCATAAATTTGAAAATTAATTGGCTCACGAGGTCGTTTGCGTATATTTAGGGCGTCACGTGCCTCCTTCGCTTCGCTAATCGAGCTTCTGAATGCCCTTATCAGTATCTCGCGCGCCCCCTACGTGCCGGGATGGCGAACGACTTCATTTGCTCGACTCCGATAGGACGCGCGACTAATTCATTTCGACTATTTTCATTATAAACTTGTAACAGGTCTAAGCTTTATTACGACGTTAAAATTTCATTACCGGTTTCAGTCGTAATTGAATTGAGTAAATTTGGTCCTTCGCTTTGCCGAATAGGAGATCTCGCCGTATACCTGTAGGTAATTTTAGTTACCTATGCTTTGTCCACTTTTCGTATTACAAATTAATGTTAGTGAAGGCACACGATCCAACTTTTACCCAGACGCTAATGAATCACCTTTGAAGTCCGGAAACAAAGTCTGTCAGATTTATCGTTATTATAGTTTTCCAGACATCATTGCCGTCGACGCTCCTTTCCCTGTCGGGCATTCCATACTAAAAGCCCAGGAAGGGTTTATTTGGCTTTTATTGATAAGTGCTGAGAAATGGGAATGTTTTGAAGGGAGTACACAGCACCGGGGAGTCCAATCTTGGAACTGTTTGAAATTATGGATTCTACGGGCCACATTCTATAAGAAAATGTTTTTTCTCGGTCGATCTAAGACATTTTTTTTTGTGGCCTCAAAAAAGGCAGTGTATATCCTTTTTTACCAAAAATCGACTGCACCAAAATTTCTCGGGAAAACACTTTTTCCTATTAATTTTGGTGCGTAGAATCCAAAACAGTTCGTACTTTTTCGATTAGACTTCTCAATCAAAAGTTATAGACTAGAAACCAATTTCGAAAAAAAATTCAAAGGGCTGTAACTTTTGATCTAGTACCCAGGATCTCCCGGTGGTACAGCCTTTCAAAACGTGCACGACCATCAATACTTGGCTTGATCATTTTTGAGGAAAAGCCATCGGAAGGGTAAGTCTAAAGGACTTTTTGAAACCCTTTAAGAAACTTTAAGAACTTCTAAAAGGTTTTATAAAGTATTTAAGAGTCTTCATAGATCACAAAATATTTTCTCTCAAAAGTAAAGTTTATTACAGTCCTTGAGGGCATTTAATGATCTTCAAAAGTACTTAATACCTAAACGTTAAAGAGCCTTTAAAATCCGTTTTGCTTCAAGAGTATCCAAGACACTAACTAAATAATCTTTAAAAGCATCTCCAACAGCTTCTCTGTACCAGTGTAATAGGGTTTTCTATTCAATTTTCCTCTCAGAATTAAGACCGCGGGCGCGAATTTCGTAACACCTTGTATATTGTTTAAATAAGAAATGTATCGGATTTATTGAAATGAAATGGACATATTGAGTTGTATCCACGAAAAAGCTATTATAAAGCTGCCATCAAGTAATAATATTAGACAATCTGTTTCTAATAGGAACAGTCTGTTATTAGTCTTTGAATTTACTAAAAAATAAGTCACGAACACAGTTTATTATAATATAAATTGAGAAATAATATCAGGAAAAGAGCTTATTAATGAACTGGAATGATAAACCTAATATGAATACTTTTAATTGTATTATATTTGAAACGGAATTTTATAATGAAAATATAAATGTAAGGGATCATGATCATATCAGTGGAAAATATAGGGGTACAACAAGCAATAGATGTAATTTGATTTTATTCCAATAATTCACAATTTAAAATATGATCCAAGGCTGTGAAGCTTGACTCTCCTATTGGCGGTTTTAGAATTATAGTTTTCTCAAAACGACCGCCAATAATCTCGAGCGCCGCCGTTTCCTTTGGCCCACTTTCGCAAATTACCCGTCGCCTTATCAAACGATTACGGATAGCCCCCTAGCGATTATCGAAACTCATTTAGTTAACCTAATTAATCCCGACACTCGGGCATCTGTAAACTTTCCCAATTTTCCACGCGTATCGATCGCGGGAGAGTTTTAATAACGACAGCCGCTAAATATAGAAATGTGTTTTTTTTCGGCGATCGATGGAACACATCCGATATGAATTTCAATTACGTGATAACTGAAATTAAATAATTGCGCTTTTACTTGAACGATTCTGTAATTTTCGGTCGCATAGTAGAGCTCTTTCTGGTCGGGTTTAAATTAAAGTGTCAATTTGTTGATTCGTCGTCGAGCCCGTCTCTGCTACTTTATCATCATCAATCGACGTCCCATTCGAAGTGTCACCAGGACCCAATGAATGGATAAATCAAATGGCCATTACGCTCCATTAACGAAAATAAAAGGACTCCTTTACGGTCAAATCACGAAAAACATTAAATTCTTGGATTAGAAAATATCGATGGGCGAAAAGAACACTTTTTACACACCCTGTATTCAGTTTTCTTTAATCCAAATAGTCGTTCCTAGACCTCTAGACCAGAGGGTAATTCAAGGACACATCCTTAGGGGGAAAAATACGAAAAATCTAAGGCCACGCAATTTATAACAGCGCAAATTATTTATTACTTCGGCATTGAAGTTGGAACTCTCTCAAACGCAATTCGATTTGTTTATATAGCAAACGCCCCTTTTTCTCGAAAGTTCTCGAACGCTCCCGAGTATTTTAGAATGTTCTCGAACAAACACGTCGCATTTCCCGAAAAAATTGCGTCACATTCGCCTTCGTTCTTTATCGCCGATGACTAATATTTCACGGCGACTTGAGTGCTCTGGAACATTCGCTACGTATCAAACCCCATCAAATCCCAGTCTATTGGAATTTTCTTTTAACTAAAAGCAAATTAAATCACAATCCTGAAGGTATCAAATATACACGTCCCATCGGACATTCACAGATTGGCAAATTTGTACTAACAATTTCCAACAGTCATACATCAATTAAGGGGCGCTTTTAGACGATAAACTTACTTCTCCACGTTTCCGGCTCGGAAGGTCCATAAATCCGAAATATCGCACTTCTTTCTTAAACGTATAAATTACGCCACTCCATTTTGAACGTGTCTTACATGTCTTATTATCATGATAACGTACTGGCGGGAATTGTCTCGATAAATAACGGGAGAATGGCAACCCATTAGCCTTTCAACGTGGGGAGAGAGCAACCGAATCGACTCCTAATCTCGAAACAGTAATTTCCTGAACAAAATGAAAATTTGCTTCGCTCGATTTTTACGCGGGCCCCAATATAATGGCGTCGTTAATTATGAGGGGCTGTAACTTTCCGTTGTTATGTTATTAAACACGGCTTTGCGTACCTAATAGGTGAATTTTTGATGGAGAGCGGCCGACGCTTACATTTTAAAATGCCAAATGGATTTTCGGGACCAATTGCTTCATATTCATGAGGCGTGTGGTAGTCACGTTTCCGTACAGCACACGAAAGCTGGGGAGAGAGAGAAGGATGCTTCATGGTTTATTAATAAAACGATATACGGATGCTGTATTTACAAAATACAAATTACAATACTGGCAGAACGCGACCGAACGACTTTTATCTCTCCGCTCGGCCTCTATCGTTTTAAGAGGATGCCTTTTGCACTTCGAAATGCGCCCGCTACATTGAGATTTCGCTTAAAAATTGATAACTGTTATCAGTCGTCGGATCCATTTTCTAGAAATTCAATGTCTGTGTAATTGCATTACTTCTGGCGATTAACCGGATTTGGTGTGGATCGGGATACACTTTTCTCTAAACTGGAGGCTATAATTTGAATTTATTTGGATACGTAAGTTGTCATTTTGAAGATTGCACAGATTTCTGAAACGTTTCTTCGGATTCCTGCCTGAAATTATTCTGGAAAGCGACTCTCACCATTGCAAACACTATAATTTTATTCGGGAAAAAGGGTTGACGCAATTCCAAAAAAAAAAAAATTTCCAGAGAATGAGTGTAAATAAAGTTCGAACAAATATCTCCACAAAGAAACACGAGGCGGTGGCGTTTCCAAGTTACGTTTAACAAAAGGATAAATTCAGTCTTCTAATTTCCATTTACTCAAACGGTAGTATTTCCATTTAAGAGACGTAATGGGATCGGAAGTTTCCTCTCGGTACGATTGCTCGCGTCAATCATATCACCTCTTTTTTTTCGGGTACTAAACAGAGTTACGTCAATACGTGACGGAGGTACGGGGGTGGAAAATTTAATCAATTTTCGTTTCACACTCGGCTTTCAAACGATTCTTTAAGGTCTCCGACGCCATTAAATATTTAAAAAGGAAACCTGGGGCACGCGCGCGCCTCGGGCGAGTAAATAAACTATCGACGGACCGAAAACGTAACCGAAGCGTTTTAATTGGCTTGATAACTGTATACGATTGACCCTAATTAATATTTAAATTATTTCATATACGCCTGGATTGCTAAACGTGCTGGACCACGCCGGTGGTGCGAAGCGTGAATCCCGTTAATGAAAGCGAAACTTATAATTTATTTATAATCTCGGGGAATTGTTTCCCGTTCAGGCAAGTTCTTACTATAAACATCGAATGTTTTCGCAAGTTTGTGTTGAAGTTCTGCGGTAATGTGGCAGCCCTTCCGACCGACGCCGACGGTGCTACCACAAGCAGGGGAAAACTTTTGTATAGAAATTTCGATCCTAAGAAATTGTTTTTCTACTTACTCGGTCTTACTTCTGGTCCAATTCCGCTTCTGATTGCTTCAGCATCTAAAACAAAAGAGAAAAATGTAGTATAATATTGAATCGTTAAGATCTAGCACCAAACCGTAGATTTGTTGATAGAAAAATTTTTGTAATTTTCAAAATTTCTCGCTCGCTCAATGGCTTCATGGCCATCGATTTAAAAGAGAACGGATGGACCGAAAAAATAAATAATGCCCTTTTGATATCTTTGTTCGTTATGAACCGAATTGCATGAAATTCAAACTGGGCATAGCCAGTACCAAATCAAATGTAATGTCACCGCTTTGGCACTTTTGATTTAGTATCGTCAGAGCTTAAGAACAAGTCCCGCGAGGGTGCGGGCTTCCGCTAACAACTAACTAAGATGCCGCGGATGGCATCAATTGAACCTTCGATTCTCAAGATGTCTGCAAAAGTCCAGGCTGAATATACTGAATTTTTTCCGAATCCCGAAAATTTTTGAATCTCCCAGACCTTTCACATATCATTCCCGAATTGGCCTTCCAAAAGTTCTAATGAATTTCCGAATCTTCCCAAAGGCTTATCTGAAACATTCAAAACCCTTTTGCGCCCTTCTTCTTAAATATACTTGAATCGATCCAAAACCGATCTAAAACATTGTCTTTGAATCCTTCATAAATCCCCCTTAAATCGTTCTTAATTCTGAATGGAATCCGTTTTCGCATATATCGTAAAATTTTCTGGACGCTGCCCAGACCCCCCGGTGCTACTTTCACTCACGAAACGTTCAGCAATAGACTCTTTCCAAAAATTATGCTATAAGTGCTTAACTTCTTATGGAAGAATGAAGAATCTGGAGGTCTGGGGAGTGGGGCATACCCCCCAGAAACAAAAAAAAGGTCTATGTTAATTTTCTTGCACATATCGTAAAATTTCTGGACGCTGGGGGGTATTCCATACCCCCCGGTGCTACTTTCACTCACGAAACGTTCAGCAATAGACTCTTTCCAAAACTTTTGCTATAAGTGCTTAACTTCTTATGGAAGCATGAAGAATCGGGGGGTCTGGGGCATACCCCCCAGGAACAAAAAAAAGGTCTATGTTAATTTCCTTGCACATATCGTAAAATTTCTGGACGCTGGGGGGTATTCCATACCCCCCCAGACCCCCCGGTGCTACTTTCACTCACGAAACGTTCAGCAATAGACTCTTTCCAAAACCTTTGCTATAAGTGCTTAACTTCTTATGGAAGCATGAAGAATCGGGAGGTCTGGGGGGTGGGGCATACCCCCCAGGAACAAAAAAAGGTCTATGTTAATTTCCTTGCACGTATCGTAGAATTTTCTGGACGCTGGGGGGTATTCCATGGAAGAATGAAGAATCGATAGGTCTGGGGGGTTTCGCATACCCCCCGGGAACAAAAAAAAGAGTCTATGTACATTTCCTTCCGGATATCGTAAAATTTTCTGGACGCTGGGTATTCCATGGAAGAATCGGGAGGTCTGGGGGGGTTTGGCATACCCCCCAGGAACAAAAAAAAAGTCTATGTTCATTTCCTTGCACATATCGTAAAATTTTCTGGACGCTGGGTATTCCATGGAAGAATCGGGAGGTATGGGGGTTTGGCATACCCCCCAGGAACAAAAAAAAGTCTTATGTTCATTTCCTTGCACATATCGTAACATTTGGACGCTGGGGTATTCCATGGAAGAATGAAAAATAGGGAGATCTAGGGGGTTATAGCATACCCTCCAGGAACAAAAAAAGAGTCTACGTACATTTCCTTGCACATATCGTAAAATTTTCTGGACGCTGGGTATTCCATGGAAGAATCGGGAGGTATGGGGGTTTGGCATACCCCCCAGGAACAAAAAAAAGTCTTATGTTCATTTCCTTGCACATATCGTAACATTTGGACGCTGGGGTATTCCATGGAAGAATGAAAAATAGGGAGATCTAGGGGGTTATAGCATACCCTCCAGGAACAAAAAAAGAGTCTACGTACATTTCCTTGCACATATCGTAAAATTTTCTGGACGCTGGGTATTCCATGGAAGAATCGGGAGGTATGGGGGTTTGGCATACCCCCCAGGAACAAAAAAAAGTCTTATGTTCATTTCCTTGCACATATCGTAACATTTGGACGCTGGGGTATTCCATGGAAGAATGAAAAATAGGGAGATCTAGGGGGTTATAGCATACCCTCCAGGAACAAAAAAAGAGTCTACGTACATTTCCTTGCACATATCGTAAAATTTTCTGGGCGCTGGGGGGTATTCCATGGAAGAATGAAGAATCGGGGGGTCTGGGGGTTTGGCATACCCCCCAAGAACAAAAAAAAGAGTCTATGTTCATTTTCTAGCACATATCGTAAAATTTTCAGGACGCTGGGGGG